TTATTATACTGTGTTACAAAAAAAATACTTTTTTCTCTCTCCGAAGTGCGATCATACATTTTCCGAAGATTTTTTCGCGCTGCACACAATGCCATTTGAAGAATTCGCCTAGCACGTCAGGATTTTGAGTAAATTGGAATAAAAGTTATAAAGTCAAAAATGGCATTTTTTTGCTACTTTTAACATTTTCTTGCGGCCGCAAACCGAAAACTTTCTAAATGAATCCAATGGCATTTGAAAGTATCATTCAAGAGCTTTCAAATGAACTTCGATTCACGACTGTACGACTTTTTTTCATCAAGTTATGTTTGAATTTTATACTCTTAGACTTTTTATACACTGTGTTATAAAAAACAAACTTTTTTCTTTCTTCGAAGTGCGACTATATACCTACGTTTCCCGAAGATTTTTTCATGCTGAACACGATACCGTTGGCAGAATTCCTAGCACGTCAGGATTTTAAATAAATTGAAATGAAAGTAATCGAAGTTCTTCGGAGAAAGAAAAAGTTTGTTTTTTATAACACAGTGTATAAAAAGTCTAAAAGTATAAAATTCAAACAGCCATAACTTAATGAAAAAAAATCGTATGATCGTGAATCAAAGTTTATTTGAAAGCTCTTGAATGATACTTTCAGATGCCGTTGGATTCATTTAGAAACCAGTTTTTAGTTTGCCGCAAGTAAATGTTAAAAGTGGCCAAAAATGCCATTTATTCCAATTTACTCAAAATCTTCACGTGCTAGGCGAATACTTCAAACGGCTTTGTAGCACAAAAAAATCTTCGGGAATTGTATGGTCGCACTTCAGAGAGAATTTTGCTGTAACACAGTGTTATTAATCCTAATTTAATACATAGGATGATTTAAAAAAATATTATAAACTAATATTTTTGAATTATTTGAATAAAGTACATGATTTATACGACAATTTTCTTATTACAAATGTGTTACAATTGAATTGTAGGAGTTCTCCCAAGGAAGATGCACATCATGCATTCTTAGATATCCAATTTAATAAAAGATGAATTGGACGTGCTAGATATGTTCAATGGCTTCCGTATTTATTTAATCTTACTGCATGCTTAGATTTTTTTATGAGAGTATGTTGTGGAAAATATGAAATATTTTCCACATTTCCAACAAACTAAAGAAAACATCAAGCAAAGAATACAAACTGTTTGTGTATCTATAACGCAATTCATGATTAAATATACAAAATTTTATATTTAGATTGAATAAACATTTAAAATAAATAATGGATAATAATGAATAATGGATAATGGATAAAATGGGTAAAAATGGATAATAATGAATAATATCTTTTTAAATATTTAATAATTTTAGAAAAGATTTGTATACAGGGTGAGGCACTTAAGATAGGCCACCTGAATAATTTCTGAATGGTTCGAGATATTGGATTGAAATTTATAGGGTTACAATGGCATCATGAAATCTATTTAATCTTAAAAACATTTACTTCGACCCTCCATAGGGGTCGGAGGGGAAGGGAGGTTGAAATCTTAAATGGCATGTGGAGTCGAGTGAGGGCTCGTTTGAAAGAGCTTTTTGAGACGAGAAAAACGCGAAGCTGTTAAGGTATAATCTACGATTTTTTTTCGCAGAATTATGCTCATTTGAACATTGGTGTTATTTAGCGTTAGCGAGGTTCACGGTGAGGAAAATAAAGCTTCGCGCATACACATACACACGCTGTTCCACATACACTTCCATTCACTCAGGAAGATGCGCAACATCTTATCTTCCTTGCGAGGGAGGGTTCTTCCCTGGAGGGTTGAAGTTTTTAAGGTTAAATAATAGATTTCATAATGCCATTGTAACCCTATAAATTTCAATCCAATATCTCAAACCATTCAGAAATGATTCAGGTGGTCAGTTTTAAGTGCCTCACCCTGTATATATATTGTATACAATGTTTTTTAATTTATAAATCAATACCATACAACAGATCTCTACATTTCATGACTCATAACTTTTGATACTTTGATTTTAGAAAAAATATTTCAAGTAAAACTTGTTTGATTTTTAATGTAGAGTCCAATATATAGGTATTATAGTAAAATTGTATTCCGGCTCGTATTTTACAATAAAATAATGTATTATTTTTTGCAAAGTTTTTTACTCTTCTCCTACCCTTATTTGGAAGAATTTTCAAAATTCAATTATAATGTACATATAAGACTCATTTATAAGAAAATCGCCGTATAAATCATGTATGTTTATTCAGTAGTTTCTGAAATGTTAGTATTACTTTATCTGTATTACTTTATTTGAGCCTAATACATTAATTGGTTATGAAACTTAACTTGCATAACAATTTGATGATATTAATAATATTACCTTCCAATTATTTTCTGACAAGTTTGTCTTGCTAAGATAGTAGTAGGCGCCATGCCACCAAATGCAATATGTGCTTCTTGAATTATATTTGTATCAGGAATAAAATATACGTTTAAGGCCATGTTGACTATGGCGATATCATCATCTCGTCTTTTTGCTTGTTTATAGGCAATAAAATGTTGATTCTGCAAAAATATAAAATAAATATGAGAAAACAATCTTTATTATAAAAAGTTGTTTATTAATAATTTTAATAAATATTAATAATTTTCACCTCTTTTGTAAAGGGAATGTCAATAGAAACTAATATTTCTTCAGGCAAAACAACGTTACGTCGGTATCCGACGAAAAAGGTATGATCCATTGGTATGGTTCGACTTCCATATTTCAAACTGCATAAATTTAATTTAATACCTGCAGCCATAAAGATCGGATTTAAATCTGATATTGGGCTTCCAGTCATTATATTACCACCTACGGCCTAATTAATTAAAAAAGATTTATTATTCAAATTATAAATAACAATTGTAATATATATGATCAGAAAGACACTTATACATACAGCAACATTTCTTATTTGCTTTCCAGCAAACCAATGTAACATATTTATTATTTCCTTGAAAATCCTTGTATTACATTCTATCGGGAAAACATAATTATATATTATATCTAAATATTTTATAGATTTTTCTATAAGAAAATATTATTTTATTATAGAAATATTATTTTATAGAGTTTTCATGCTAATTGTAAGTAAGATATCATTGAATAATAATGACATATACATATAAAACTAATTATAATAATAATCACTTCATAACAATTACGGTTTTAATTGTTTATGTATTAGAACCTGTAATTATGATGTAACAAATATAATCCAGATATACATTACCAGATTTTATTTTAATATAATGCTTTAATGTTTCCTCAAGCTCAATCAAAGTCATGCTCGCACCCATTCTCAATGCCTCTGGTGTTTCAATAACTTCACGCATTTCTTTTATTTGCGTTGGTTGTATAATTATCGGGTATATTAAATTTTTAAATTTCATTTCAACTCCTGTAATAATATAAATTACAAAATTATCTTTTTTTAAAACAAATAATAAGAAAAAAGATGTCAAGTATAGCTCTTTGAACAAAAAATTGTACCAAATTAAAAGATCAAGGTCATGACATCAAACTTTTTGTTTTTTAGCTTAAAAGGGTGAGATTTCATTTCATTCCTTTTAGAAGATTCTATTGGTTCGCGTTATTTTCCTACAAGTAGTAAAAAAAATAATAAGAAATACATTTTTTTATGCTTTTGACACCGTTTTTTTTTATACTAAACCCAATTTACTATACTTTATTATCGAATTCAGATTCTACGAGAAGAAATCTATCGAAATCAGTTTTCATTGTTTAAGTGCCAAAATCCGTGTCGGACAGTGAATTGACGTCATAATTTTATAAAAATTGCGTTACCTCATCTTAGCACTCACAAATTAAAAAGTATCGGTACAAAATAACAAATAAAAAAACATTAATTTAAATAACAAATTTTTTAAAGTAATAAAAGCACTTGCTGCTAAATAAAATATGCGAATTGGATTTGAATTATATGTATAATAAAAATTTTTATATTTTCTCTAAAAACTCTACGAGCAAAAATATTGCGTAACGCAAAGTCCGAATCTGGAAATTTACAAAAACCGTCGCTGTTATTCATGTTTGAGTTATTATAAAAAATAAAAACACTTATTATGTATCAATCTCATTGTCAAGCTATAATCAATTCAACCTACTCAGAACTTGATTAGCATGACTGTTATTGAGATGTATGTATAAGGAGTTATACATATTAATTGTACAAGTATTACGAAGTGTAATTACATATTATTATACATAATACATATATATTGCTTTACATTTATTCGTATTATAATAGTTCATCATATATTGATTTGTATTTGTAAATAAAAATTATAAACTTAGATTTACGTATAAGATACGTGTAATTTAATGAAAACTTCTTTTGTATTTTTTCTCAGGACAGATGTATAATTTAAGATATCAAATCCAAATTCGTACCATTATTCCATTATAGTGGGTGCTCGAAAGAAGTATATACCATTTGAAGATTAAGGCTTCAAAATAAATATATTTCAATTATTTATGTTAAATATATAACGTCTACCTGAATAATAATCCTAATCTATACTGTCAACTCCGTGTCTCGCATTTTTTATATTGCACTCTCGAAATATGCAAATGGTCGATGCATAAACAACGACGATGCCATTTCTTAAACCGGTATTCTGTTCTTATTTTAAGATCGTCTTAAGCATGAGCAATATCGTAAGTAGTCGCTCAAAAACAAATTTTAAATATAAGAAACCTACTGTGAATACCGACCTTAAACAAAATTTCTAAAATTCGGACTTTGCGTTGTAATATCTCTGCAGCTCATAGAACACATAGAGAAAAAAATAAAAATAGTTTTATTATATGATTAAAATCCAAGCTATCAATTGAATCTACCTAGAACTTGATTGAATCAGCCGTTATTGAGATCTAATAATTTTGACCCAAACAGCACAAGGACGTCCTAAGGACGTCCCCAGGGCGTCCAGGACGGGATTTGAGGACGTTTTCAGGATGTCCTATTTTCATCCAGGGACGTCCTGAGGACGTCCTGTGGTATAACAAATGAGCGCCTCATCGTGTCCTCAGGAA